AATAGATAAAATATTTTACACAAATCAATTTTAAATGGTTTGTGATTTGAATTTTTAAATATTTATAATTTTAATCAATTATTGTATTTATAWTTCTTATAATTGATAAAAATAAAATATACTATTGTTAATTATAAGTAATTATATACTATACTTACAGCTAGTTGGATCATTTCCTAATTTCCCATATGGAACATCAGATGATATAGAAGCAATATCAGCTTTAGGTCTTAAATATAATATTCCAGTCCACGTTGATTGTTGTTTAGGTGGTTTCATAGCAGCATTTATGCCACAAGCTGGTTTTCCATTACCTCCATTTGACTTCATTTTGCCTGGTGTTACAAGTATATCTGCTGATACACATAAGGTATTTTTTTAAATTATAATTATCTATTACTAAATTAAAATAAAGTACTAAATTCAATTTTTTTACATTTTATCACCCTAAATCATTCATTAGTATGGATATGCTCCTAAAGGTTCATCAGTTATATTGTATTCTGACAAAAAATATAGACATAACCAATATTATGTATGTACAGAATGGCCTGGCGGTCATTATGGATCACCAACTGTTAGTGGATCAAGGTCTGGGGGTAATTATATTAATCTACATAAGAAAGATTTTCAAAAAATGTGAACTGCTTTATTTCTAATCTTACAATTTAACAGGTATAATTGCTGCATGCTGGGCCACATTAATGTATTTTGGTATGGATGGCTATATTACTTCTACAAAGGAAGTCATGGATACTAAAGTATTTATCGAAGAACAGTAAGTATTAAAAATTAATCTGTAACTTAGTTGTGTTATTATTCAATATTTWTACCAATTTTGTAGACAATCAAATATTAGAATCATTAGATTATTGATAAGTGATACCTTTTATAGTAGAATCTTTTCTTCTTAGTATATCTATAAATCTATTACAGTATTACCTAATACTTTAAGACCATAAAAAGATTAATTCTAAATAATACAGTCTTCCACAATTACTGCATTCGCAAAAAAAAATTTATTTTATTTTATAGTTTAATTCATCAAATATTTCTTATTTATATCTTTTAGTGTTTTTGATGCGAAAATTAAATAATTTGTTTTTTTATTTTCAGATTACGTAGTATGAAAGGTATTTTCATTTTTGGAAAGCCTACTACATCTGTAATAGCAATAGGTTCTGATGATTTTAATATTTATCGATTATCTGATGCATTAAATTCGAGAGGTTGGAATTTAAATACTTTACAATTTCCGATTGGGTAAGACATATTAGAAAAGTATTAGCTTAAAAGATAATATGTAAATTATATAATGTGATTTTTTAGTTAATACTACTTGACCAGATTACATTTGATTTTTAATTTTATTTGGATCTTTACTTGTTTATACTATGGATTTAGATAATATATAGTATCTATATCCGTGGTTTATACTAACTTATATATACATTTGTCGCAACAATTAAAACTTTCACCACATTCAGAATCTTTAGTTTTTCAAAAAAATTGCATTCAATCCAATGTAATCTTGCCAAAAAATTTGATGTCATTTGAAAAAATTATTAAACTATAATAATCAATCTGATTATTTATAGGATTCATATTTGCATTACACATTTGCATACAAAACCTGGTGTAGCTTCATTATTTATTGAAGATTTAAGACTTGAATTAATTGAAATATTAAAAACTCCTAATGTTGAACTCACTGGAAAAGTAAAGAATATAACTTATTATGATATATAATAATAATAGTTTTTTTTTAATTTAACATTGAGTATTGTGATTTTATAGATGGCTATGTATGGAATGTCTGCCACATTGCCAGATAGAACTATAGTTGGTGACATCACAAGATATTTTATAGATGCTATGTATTATACTCCAAAATAATACATTTCATATGTAGGTATAAGTATAATTACTTATTTCTTATATTTAAT